TTTTTTTATTAATAATTCTCACGTGAAAGAATAAAACTGTGTCAAAAATACATTGTGCTTTTCCTTTATTTCTTGTAAATACAAATTTTCTTGTAAATACTTGTAATATATTTGAAAAATATTTTATTCTACCATTGTTTTAATACAATTTTGACATAAATAAAGATTTATTATTCATTTTAGTATATCTTTGTACAAAAGTAGGTGTAAATTGAGAAAAATATTTTGCTAAATCAGATATATAATGTTCTTTATTAATTTTATTCTTAGTTTTAAAAACTTAATCTTTTATTTTTAATAAGTATAAATGATTTATATAAAAAGATTGTTTAGATTTACTTTGTGAATAATGTTATTGCTTACCTATGTGCAATTGTAATATTTTAGGAATTATTATCAGTATTAATAAAATTTAATTTATTTACCATAATTTCTTCTTAATGAATAAATAAAATAAATTGGAAAAAGATATTTGATTTAACGAATGATAAAAATAAATATATTATATAATGTTAATTTAATTTAATGAACATACAAAATATAAATGTGGGGAAAATGTATTTTAGAATATTGACAAAATTATCGTGAATTACTAAATTAATGAATATTGCTTTAAACTTTCCGATATTTGCAATTGTTATTGCAATTGTTAGATAATTTGAAATCTCTTTTCATATAGTAATAATATTCCAAGAGAAGAAATATCAAGTAAATAATGAGATAATAACATTTATGTTATAAAAAATGTATTCTAAGTGTATTCGAAATATAAATTTTTATTTTGAATAAAATTGACTTTTCTTTGTAATTGCAATTGTCTTGCAAGGAGTATACATGTTAATCATATAGTAAAAATTATTTCTGGAATTTAAATTATTTAATTTTGAAGAAAAATATGGCCAAATTAAATTTTTTAAATAAGTTTTCTTAAGAAGCTTCTAATAATTACATATATTTAATTATTAATATAAATTAAAAATTTATAAATTATTCTAGTTACAATATAAATCTTATATAATATATAATTAATACATTGTATCTCATAATTTTCGTAATTAAGGATATTCAAAATAGACCATAGGAATAAACCAAAAGCATATTTAATAATAGAATACATTTTATATTTTACATTGAACTCGAATAAGAAACTTAAGTAATGATAAACAATATTATTTCATTTAAGAAATATAAAAAGCAGGAAATGGAAAAGATGTTTAAGTATTTATTTTTGTAGCAATTTTTTAACAGTAAAGAAATGTAATATGATAACAATATTATAAATATATAAATGTATCTTACATAATACATTTATTTTGCATATTGAAATTATTTTTATTTATTTGCGAATCTTGTGAATTTTTATTAATAAGAATTTCTACTTTGATAAAAATTCATAAATAATAAGGAATAAATTGTTAAAAATTGAAATAATATATATATGATTGTGCATTTTTTCAATTTTCATCTGAATCTTCAGAATTTGAATTATTAGATCCTTTAATAGTTTTAGGTTTTGTAATATGGGATAACCATGATTTTTTATTATCTTCCGATGAAAAATTCTTTTCAAATATAATTACTCCAGAAAGAGAAATTCTGTACTCTAATGTTTCAGTTAGAAAGTCATCACGATTTCCTAAGTCAGTAAATCCCACAATATAATCTTTAGTTTTACCATTAACAATAAGAGCTATTGTGGGAATAATTTTGATTCTTAAACGTTCTGAAAATGTTTAAGATTGATTAATTTTAGAAATATTAAAGTTCAAGACATAAAATAATTTAACTTACTAGTTAAAAATGGACATCTCATTACATTTAGCTTACAAAATCTTGCTTCTATATGTTTCTTTGCAAGAATTTTAAAATGATGATCTACTATCTTGCATCTTGGCGAATCATCCTTGTAAAATAAACAGACAATGTTTTCTGATTTTTTTGATATTTCAAAAAATTCTTTTTCATCCTGTAGTTCTGAATATTCTCCATGACCCTAAAATATATGTATGTAAAATATGAACATTAGTTTAACAATTTTAAATAAAATTAAGTCATTAAATAATAACGTAAATATTACAAAATAGCACAATATTTTAAATAATAATTTACCAATGACAACCAATTTTGCTTTTGTTGTTGAAGTAATTTTAACTTCTGGAAACGTTGTTCACGTAACTTTTCAAAATCATTAATATCCAAATTATCCAACTTTTCTATTTCTGTGTCTAATTGTTTTTCAACACAATGTGTAGCTTCTATTATTTTTTGTTGTAAAATAGTATCCATCTCGAATTGTAAACGAAATTCCAAATAGTTTGTAGGTTATACTACACAAATTTAATAGGTAATTTTATATCGCAATGTAAAAAAAATATGAAAAGCTGTAGTTAGGACTAATTGTTTTCACTTCATATTTAAACAAACTAATACTTTATAATACATAAATAATTGATACTATTGTATAATATTTGGTATTTTAACTTCTAATAAACAAATTTGTTCTTATTAATACGACTTCAGTTTGACCCTATAAGGAGTTTTCTTAGATTTGCTTAGATACATTTACTAAAATATTGAATGCATTAATTATGAAAAGATAAAATTCCTAAAAGTACATAGATATAACATTTAATTTATATATATGGTAATTTAAATGAATTTTTATTAAAATCGTATTTTACATATTATATATTGTATATATATTATATATTATACATGTTACATACTATATATTAATTTCAATGAAATACATATTAATCATTATATGTTGGAATTAATACAAAAAAGTAAAGAAATAAATAAATATGAGTTAAAATTAGAATAACTAATTATATTGAATATAGTGTTTATATTTAAATTTCAGACAAAATATTTAAGTTATTGTGTAATTATGAATCTTAAATTAATCTAAAAATAATCTAAAGGAAAAGCATTAAATGTCTAAAATGCACTTAGTTTCTTCCATATTCAAAGGCATATAAAACTGACAAAAATTAACGTATCATATTCAAATTTTTTTCCAAATATGCCTAAAGTACCGTCTTTTATGATATGTACGCATGTAATTTGTTTTCAATCGTTCCGATATTTTCAGACCTGTACTTACGCCACCTACCAAAAATCGACACGAACTTTTCGGATGTTTTATGAAAACGTACTTTGAAAGCTGCTATTATTGGCGCTAAAAGTTTTAAATCGAAAGTAAGTAAAAGTAAAATATAAAAAAATGAAAGCATTAACTTTTAACTGAATTAGTAATTATAGTAAAGGTATGAAGATTTCTTTTCTTCAAGGATTTAAAAACTTTGGTATATTTATTTATTGTACAAACATATTTATATATAAATTCGTATTTAAATATTTAAATTTTAATTCTTTTCATACATTTTCTAAAATTGAGAATTATCAATTAAATAAATTTCATACTAATTTGCAATGTTTATTATAACAATACATACATATATAAATTATAATAATGATGATTATGATAAATAATGGGTTTATATATTTTATTTCATTAGTCGATTTACAAGGTAGTATTCATTTTTCAATGATATAATTAATAAATTTGTAAATATTTTGTATAATGTTATATATATAGTAATTATTAAATAAACTATCACTACGTGTACATTTAATTGGCTTAGAAATATAATTGTGTATTTTATAATTTATAAATTATATTACAGTGTAACTTATAAATCAAGCAACGATAAAATAATAAATAAAAGAAATAATTAATGTTAACGATACATCGTAATATTTAATTGCATAAAATAATCTATTTTTCTAGGTGCAATTAAGTTGCATAGTTGTCGACTTGTTAGACAGTAATAAAGATGGCGCATGTAACATACGAGTAGCTGATGTTTGCTTCGATACGTGTATTAACAATTGTTCGAAATAGTCGCATTGACATATTGTGTAGTGTGTATGTGAATACGTGTGCGTGTTTATATGAAGTAAATTTTGGTCGATAAAATATGTTAGAAATTTGTTGAATATGAGTGAAGGAGCGAATTCAGTTTCGCAAATCTGCGAGAATTCGCTTACGACCTTGAAAGATGAGGTCGATCCTGAAGAACTTCCTCCAAGAACAATATCGCATACTACTAGAAGATCACGGTTTGGTACAGGCAATGTCCCGCTCTCACCTTATATCTTGATCGATGGAAAAAAATTGCGAAGTTCTTTGGCATTAAGCAAAAAAAAGTTTCCCCGACGTGTGAGTTTTCCAACAAATGACAATCACTTGATTACGGGATATCTGGAGCCGGCCAATCCATGGAAACTTGGTGAGGATAAATACTACATTTTGCATCAGTTTTATATTCATTTGTCCATTTTAGTTTAGTATTTTTTGAAGATCCATAGTTCATATTTGTACCGATTGATAAATATTAATAATTTAAAAATTTGTTTCATATTTAATAGAGACATTTATATTTAAATATAAGTGTTTCTGTATTTATGATATTAATTTATTAATATAACTATAGAAATATGTATTTAATTAATACATTTTTGTATATTTTGGAAAAATAACGATCTTTTTAAATTTTTGTTATTCTCTCAAATAATAATTTGAAAGGAACATTTGAATTATTGTACACACATGCTTCTAATGTGCTAAATAATTTATAAGAAAAAATATTAGATATTTATCAGTTAAAAGCATAACTTTATTTTTAAATCGGTGTTACTTTATAAATAATATAAAGATTTAGTGACACATTTAAAAATTAATTGTATGTACACATTATATAAATATTATTTAAAGAATACTTATCTCAGTAAAGAAATGTAATATGATAACAATATTATAAATATATAAATGTATCTTACATAATACATTTATTTTGCATATTGAAATTATTTTTATTTATTTGCGAATCTTGTGAATTTTTATTAATAAGAATTTCTACTTTGATAAAAATTCATAAATAATAAGGAATAAATTGTTAAAAATTGAAATAATATATATATGATTGTGCATTTTTTCAATTTTCATCTGAATCTTCAGAATTTGAATTATTAGATCCTTTAATAGTTTTAGGTTTTGTAATATGGGATAACCATGATTTTTTATTATCTTCCGATGAAAAATTCTTTTCAAATATAATTACTCCAGAAAGAGAAATTCTGTACTCTAATGTTTCAGTTAGAAAGTCATCACGATTTCCTAAGTCAGTAAATCCCACAATATAATCTTTAGTTTTACCATTAACAATAAGAGCTATTGTGGGAATAATTTTGATTCTTAAACGTTCTGAAAATGTTTAAGATTGATTAATTTTAGAAATATTAAAGTTCAAGACATAAAATAATTTAACTTACTAGTTAAAAATGGACATCTCATTACATTTAGCTTACAAAATCTTGCTTCTATATGTTTCTTTGCAAGAATTTTAAAATGATGATCTACTATCTTGCATCTTGGCGAATCATCCTTGTAAAATAAACAGACAATGTTTTCTGATTTTTTTGATATTTCAAAAAATTCTTTTTCATCCTGTAGTTCTGAATATTCTCCATGACCCTAAAATATATGTATGTAAAATATGAACATTAGTTTAACAATTTTAAATAAAATTAAGTCATTAAATAATAACGTAAATATTACAAAATAGCACAATATTTTAAATAATAATTTACCAATGACAACCAATTTTGCTTTTGTTGTTGAAGTAATTTTAACTTCTGGAAACGTTGTTCACGTAACTTTTCAAAATCATTAATATCCAAATTATCCAACTTTTCTATTTCTGTGTCTAATTGTTTTTCAACACAATGTGTAGCTTCTATTATTTTTTGTTGTAAAATAGTATCCATCTCGAATTGTAAACGAAATTCCAAATAGTTTGTAGGTTATACTACACAAATTTAATAGGTAATTTTATATCGCAATGTAAAAAAAATATGAAAAGCTGTAGTTAGGACTAATTGTTTTCACTTCATATTTAAACAAACTAATACTTTATAATACATAAATAATTGATACTATTGTATAATATTTGGTATTTTAACTTCTAATAAACAAATTTGTTCTTATTAATACGACTTCAGTTTGACCCTATAAGGAGTTTTCTTAGATTTGCTTAGATACATTTACTAAAATATTGAATGCATTAATTATGAAAAGATAAAATTCCTAAAAGTACATAGATATAACATTTAATTTATATATATGGTAATTTAAATGAATTTTTATTAAAATCGTATTTTACATATTATATATTGTATATATATTATATATTATACATGTTACATACTATATATTAATTTCAATGAAATACATATTAATCATTATATGTTGGAATTAATACAAAAAAGTAAAGAAATAAATAAATATGAGTTAAAATTAGAATAACTAATTATATTGAATATAGTGTTTATATTTAAATTTCAGACAAAATATTTAAGTTATTGTGTAATTATGAATCTTAAATTAATCTAAAAATAATCTAAAGGAAAAGCATTAAATGTCTAAAATGCACTTAGTTTCTTCCATATTCAAAGGCATATAAAACTGACAAAAATTAACGTATCATATTCAAATTTTTTTCCAAATATGCCTAAAGTACCGTCTTTTATGATATGTACGCATGTAATTTGTTTTCAATCGTTCCGATATTTTCAGACCTGTACTTACGCCACCTACCAAAAATCGACACGAACTTTTCGGATGTTTTATGAAAACGTACTTTGAAAGCTGCTATTATTGGCGCTAAAAGTTTTAAATCGAAAGTAAGTAAAAGTAAAATATAAAAAAATGAAAGCATTAACTTTTAACTGAATTAGTAATTATAGTAAAGGTATGAAGATTTCTTTTCTTCAAGGATTTAAAAACTTTGGTATATTTATTTATTGTACAAACATATTTATATATAAATTCGTATTTAAATATTTAAATTTTAATTCTTTTCATACATTTTCTAAAATTGAGAATTATCAATTAAATAAATTTCATACTAATTTGCAATGTTTATTATAACAATACATACATATATAAATTATAATAATGATGATTATGATAAATAATGGGTTTATATATTTTATTTCATTAGTCGATTTACAAGGTAGTATTCATTTTTCAATGATATAATTAATAAATTTGTAAATATTTTGTATAATGTTATATATATAGTAATTATTAAATAAACTATCACTACGTGTACATTTAATTGGCTTAGAAATATAATTGTGTATTTTATAATTTATAAATTATATTACAGTGTAACTTATAAATCAAGCAACGATAAAATAATAAATAAAAGAAATAATTAATGTTAACGATACATCGTAATATTTAATTGCATAAAATAATCTATTTTTCTAGGTGCAATTAAGTTGCATAGTTGTCGACTTGTTAGACAGTAATAAAGATGGCGCATGTAACATACGAGTAGCTGATGTTTGCTTCGATACGTGTATTAACAATTGTTCGAAATAGTCGCATTGACATATTGTGTAGTGTGTATGTGAATACGTGTGCGTGTTTATATGAAGTAAATTTTGGTCGATAAAATATGTTAGAAATTTGTTGAATATGAGTGAAGGAGCGAATTCAGTTTCGCAAATCTGCGAGAATTCGCTTACGACCTTGAAAGATGAGGTCGATCCTGAAGAACTTCCTCCAAGAACAATATCGCATACTACTAGAAGATCACGGTTTGGTACAGGCAATGTCCCGCTCTCACCTTATATCTTGATCGATGGAAAAAAATTGCGAAGTTCTTTGGCATTAAGCAAAAAAAAGTTTCCCCGACGTGTGAGTTTTCCAACAAATGACAATCACTTGATTACGGGATATCTGGAGCCGGCCAATCCATGGAAACTTGGTGAGGATAAATACTACATTTTGCATCAGTTTTATATTCATTTGTCCATTTTAGTTTAGTATTTTTTGAAGATCCATAGTTCATATTTGTACCGATTGATAAATATTAATAATTTAAAAATTTGTTTCATATTTAATAGAGACATTTATATTTAAATATAAGTGTTTCTGTATTTATGATATTAATTTATTAATATAACTATAGAAATATGTATTTAATTAATACATTTTTGTATATTTTGGAAAAATAACGATCTTTTTAAATTTTTGTTATTCTCTCAAATAATAATTTGAAAGGAACATTTGAATTATTGTACACACATGCTTCTAATGTGCTAAATAATTTATAAGAAAAAATATTAGATATTTATCAGTTAAAAGCATAACTTTATTTTTAAATCGGTGTTACTTTATAAATAATATAAAGATTTAGTGACACATTTAAAAATTAATTGTATGTACACATTATATAAATATTATTTAAAGAATACTTATCACTATGGATGAATAACTTATGAAATATACCTTATCAAGGTAGTAAATATCTATAAATATTATAGTTAATTGATATTTTCAAGAAAGATTTGTATTTCATAAAACTACTTCATATTTGATATAATATGTTTATAATTTAAAGAAGAATATTGATTTTGATTTATAAAATTTAATATCATAGATATTTTCATAGGTATATAATATATCAAATATTGTATCGTAGGAATGATTATATTAAGATAGTTTAACTTATTTTACGTGCATAATTTTATTATTCCTTATGCTTATTCTTATTTTACTGTAACAGTTGCTGTAAAAACTTATTTTTATTTAGTAACATTTAATAATACTTTTCTCTAATAGTAAAGTAAAATGATCAATTAATAGTAATAATTTAAATTTCAATTGTAATTTGTATAAATAGGTTAAATAACTTCTTTAAATTTTATTTTAAAGATGTTATGAGTGTTCATAATATAATGGCTATATCATTTGTTCATATAATTTTTGTAATTATTTACTTGCATAGTTGTAGCCTATTACTAAGCCATTAGGTTTTTTTATAGGTCATGCCAAATGCAGAACGTTTAAGATTTCACAATGTGAACCATATACTAATTATAAGTTTGATGCAATATTAAAGTATGTACAATATATAATTAACTCATAAGTTACTCTTAAACTGCATTATTTTAGCTGCAATTTATAAATTAGATTATTTTAAATAGAACAATATATTTAAAATTGTTTTATATAATAAATAATTTCTTATATTTTCTTATTTACATTGTTTCTTTTTTTGAGTATATTTGATTACTTAAAAAAATTATATAAGAATTAAATCAATTTTTTTTAACAAAATAAGGTAAAGCTATGATACATAAGAGTATTTTAGTATCTTTGTAATTTTTATACAACATTTACATTTTATTTACATTATTATATTAATACGTTCTCTGTGGAATTATGTATACAAATAAAGTGGAAGCTAATGTTTTAAATAAAAAATATTATATTCTACAGAAAAATTGTATTTGATTTTTGATATATGTTTTACATTCATGTTAAAATATATTTAATTCATATTAAAATAAAATGCAAGTAAATATTTGGTTATACTCTTAAGAAAAAGATAAAGAGTTGATTTCTTCTTGATCCTCTGCTTCCAGGGTCAAATTTATCAAGTTGCTTTGTTGTGATAGAGAGGTGAACATTCAATGGAAATATAGACACTAGTTAATGATCAAGTCATTGCTACAAATGAAAAACTTGGTGAGTCACCAGTGAATACCGCAGCGAACGTGTTAAGAAATATTATATTTATGAAATGCAAACAATAGACTGATATTAAAAAATTATAATATGTATTATTAACAACATGTTATCAAATAGGCTTAAATGTATGCAAAGTGTAACATAATATATGGAATCCATTACAAAGATACATTCAACACTTAAAAATAACACTGTCCAACAAATTTTAACATTTTTTTTTTTTTTACAATATGCATTGAATGATTGTTGTACTCGCTCTGGATAAGAATTTGTAAGGAGAATTGTTGTATCATACTCAGTTTTCGAAAAAGAAAAGAACGAATTTTTGTAAAAACTGCTGATTTTTAATAAAAATGAAGTATTACATGAAAACTAGAAAACTAGAAATCATTAAATGATTTTAAATGACAGAGAAGAAATTTCTGAATACATCTATGATTATAATATTTTGATATCGTATGCATTAACTAAGCGTATATTATCTATTATCAATGTAGATTAAGCATTGCTTACGCGAAACAGAGTGATGACCGCTTGGCGGCAAAAGGCCATACAATCGTTTTTGATAGATATTTTCTTAATCTGTGAGAATTGATAAACGCTTTCACAATTCTGTTGGACGGCTTCTTCGTCAGAAAGTGTACAGAATCCGGTACTATATAACAAATTCGTACTAGATAAATAATATTTCGTAAAAATGTAAACATACTACATAAAAGCTACGTACATCGGTATTTCTTTGAACTTCAGTGGTTATTTATAATCATTTAAAACTTCAAAATATTACAATCATAAACATTGATGTATTCAGGGATTCTTTACCCGTCATTTGAGATCAATTAGAGCTTTCTAACGTTTCTAGTTTTCACGCAATACTTCGTTTTTATTAAAAATCAGCAGTTTTTACAAAAATTCGTTTTACTTTTTATTTTATTTTTTTTTATTTTTTTTTTCGGGAACTGACGGTGATACAGCAATTCTTACGAATTCATATTCAGAACGAGTAACTCCACAACAATCACTCAATGCATATTGCAAAAAAAATATTGTGTTGGATAGTGTAATCAAAAAAGTTCATATAAATATATATAATTATGATCTTATTTCTGAGTTATAATGTATTTTATGTTTTATTAACTTTTATTTATTTACTTTTATAAGAAATATTCAAGTTGCCTGTCTTGTATATCAATGCAAGCATGTTTTTGATTTAATACACTCATATATTACTTAAATTTGTAGTTTTTATCATAATATATTTGTGATGAAATAATTATATTATTTACTTTATTAAATAATGTAAACCAATATAACAATTACTGTATCTTGGGAACAAGGTCAAATTTAACATATATGAACTTTTTAGATTATTTTTTAATTGCTGGATCATGCCTGATATGTATACTACATGTTATGTTTCATTGATATACTTTATAATATTTTCAAGCATCATTCATTAGTCATATATATCTTAATATGTTACTATAAACAAATTTATATGTCCTAAAAGTACATTAATTGATTGTTCACAGCTGAAAATGTAAACTATGAAGATTTAATCTCAGCATACAGGCAATCTTGTCTAAAACATGATTCACATCCTTTGGAGACTGTTATAAAACAACTTGAGGTAAAAATGAATTTTTTGTAATTAATTATATTGAAATATAAAAGAATAATATTAATTATAAAAGGTTAATGAAAAATATGGGGTTAAAACAAATAAGTTTCAAATTTACTATAATAATTTATTTTATTTTTCTAATTCTAAAATTTTAAACGATTAAAACTTATTATATAAGATTAGAACACATTTTTAATTAAAATTCAATAAAATGTATATTTATTATAAATGTTTGGTACAAAAAAATATTCATTACTAACATACAGTGAATATTTAATAATAATATTATATTTTGAATATTAATATGATGCTATATATGATATTTCATACATAAATATATACAAAT